TATGAAAATGTTTTAGTTAGACATGTTGTTGTTATGTGCCGTGGAGTCAGACTTGACTCATAGCGACCCCTCCTTGGGTCTGAGACAGTAACACTACGGAAGTAGATTGCCCCATCTTCCTTCCAAGGAGTATTACTCATTACCAGCTGAAGAAATAGAGTAGCTGAAGTCTAGATCAGCGAATCAGAAAACCTGGGGTCCAGATAGGACTCCCAGTTAAATTGGAATTTCAGATAAACAACGAACAATTTCTTAGTGGAAATATGTCCCAAGTATTGCATGGGACATACTAAATATACAACCCCGGGTCAAGAGAACTCTTGTGACACTGCGGACCAATTCCTCACCGTTAAAATGAGAACAAGAATGCCTACTTCATTGAACTAAGCCCAAATTAAAGCTAGTTTATTTAAAAGCATTAAATTAAAATTTTCAAAGGCATGAAGGTTAAAAGAAATGAGTTTGGGTCTCCCTTGCTGCGTTCCAGCGGGTAGGCTGCGCGGATTCAGAGATGAGAACTCTAGCTCCTCCTTGCTCCTGCACCCAGCTTCCGGATCCAGCGCCTGCACACAGCCTGTCCTGCAGAAAATAAGCGCCCGTCCTCCTCCGCCAGTTTTGGACCCTCCGGGCTTCCGCTGCCCGCGCTGATCACGTGCCTGTGGTCACGTGAGCGACGGTCCTGTCATTCTGTAGCTACCCCAGCTTCCTCCTGCTAGTTCCGTTCCCTCAACGTCTCCTTGGTGTTCGACCCCGTACAGTTTCTGGCTTCCAAGTCTCCCGCCGCGGCTTAGGCCTCTGGATCGGAGAAGAGGCGCTGACTCAGCTTTGATTTAGTACCCCAGCCGGGCTGTGGCAGCGACGGCCAGGGCCGCCGACCCTCGGCTGCCTCCTTTGGGTGCGTTATAGGGTCTCGAGGATTCGCGACCTAAGACTGTACCCGGGCTGTTGGGTGTCTGGCAGAGGCCCAGGTGAGCTGACCCCTTTGGTTTCTTCCGCGTTCCGGTGCTTACTGGTCTCTGGCCGCTCGAGCGAAACCCCCTCGCCTTAGTCCTCCTGCGGCCCCAATTTCTCTGATTTTTTACCTTCCAGGCCTCTACCAGGTTTATGAAACTGACGATCTTTCCCAATAGGGGGAAGGACGTGAGACTGAGAAGAGCAGGGGGATGGGTGAAAAGAATCCTTTCCCCAGGATTGGGCCACGACCCTGGCCCGCTGTAAGGGCAGGTTTTCCAGGGACCTACGTATGCATCCTGGGACACCATCAGCTCCCCCGGGAGAGACGGGTGGAGCTGAGCCTGCTTGGTTCCAGCCTAGCCCAGAAGGAACCTGTTTTTACCTCAGGGGTTTGCTTGTTTAGGCAATAAATCCTTAGTTGTAGAGCTAAAGTTCCAAACTGACCAAGGTCATTGGGAGCCTGGAATAGAACTTGGGTGTGGTTTAACTTCACTGTGGCCGTGCCCATTAGTTTATATTTTGTCAACTGGAACTTTTGTTTTGTGCCGCGATAAAATCAGGTGTAACCTTTTCTCTGTCAGTTTAGGAGTGAGAATCACTTAGAAGCTGTTAGGGTAGGTTCCTGTCATCAGACCAGACTACCACCGTTTGCGTGTACCTAAATTGTAATTGATTCAAATTGATTTTGAAAATACTATTAATTTTGATTGAAAAAGGAAACCTCTTTTCTAAGAAATTACTTTCCTGCCCTAGGAGCTTTTTTCCAGGGACTTACGTATGCATCCTGGGACACCATCAGCTCCCCCAGGAGAGCTCTGGTAGCATAGTGGCTAAGGCACTTGACTGCTAACCAGAAGACTGGCGGTTCAAACCCACCAGCCACTCCCCGGAAGGAAGATGGGGCAATCTATTTCCGTAGTGATACTGCCTTGGAAACCCAAGAAGGGGTCGCTATGAGTCAGGTCCAACTCCACGGCACATAACAACAACAACAACAACAACAACTAGGTATTTTAGTTTGAATAGGTAATGCAGTGTTTTTAGAAGGGGTGTATTATATCTGTATATCTGTATCTATCTGTCTGTCTGTCTACCTGTCAGTTCATAATGATGCTTAATAAACGTTGATAAAGTACTTGGCCTTAGCTGTTCTTAGCATTAGTTGATCCAAATTATGTAAAGTTATTTTGCTATTTTGTATGCCTGTTACACTTAAGCATGATTTCTGGTATCATTAAAGTCTTACTGCAGTATTAATGCAAATAATTAAAAAACCTTTCCTGGAAAAGCAAGTCCTATAGAAAGCAGTTTTATGGAGCAGTATGTAATTGGGCAAGACATGTTGTTGTTATTTGCCATCAAGTTGGACCCGACTCATACCGACCCCTCCTCCCTGGATTTCCAAGGCAGTATCACTATGGAAATAGATTGCCCACCCTTCATTCTGAGGCTATTTAATATTTGAGTTGATTATATCTCTGACATTTAAGTAAAGTTTATTGATATTTGCCTGCGACTTCAGTTCTTAAACATGATGATGATAATAATGATGGTAGTTGCAAAAAGTAATAAAACCTGATAATTTGTGTTTACTTTGCATCTAAATTGAAGATCTGTAGAAAACATTCAAGATCAGAAAACTTAGATGACCAAAATGGATATACGGGGTGCTGTGGATGCTGCTGTCCCAACTAACATTATTGCTGCCAAGGCTGCAGAAGTTCGCGCAAACAAAGTGAACTGGCAGTCCTACCTCCAGTAAGTACCGATTGACTGTGAATCATGGATAATCATGTGCTTCTGTGTCGGTATTTTTCATGGTCATGCTTTTATGAGAGAAATACTGGAAAGGTACTAATAAATGTGGAAGAAAATCCTTCCTCATGATAATTAGCTGTCAAGGGGAGACAGCATAATATGTGGAAATAGCTTGGGGCTGTGGTAGAGTAGCAGAGCAGCTCATGGTACTTTTGAACTTCAGTGCCTGGAATATTGTACCTTTTGAAAAAGTGGGAAATGTGAGTGGAATATTCATGAGCTGTGGAAGGAGAATGGAGTTATGGGTAAAGCCTACCAGACTTAGTGATCAATGCGGTGATGGGTAGTGTAGCAGAATGGCTCATACATACAAATAGTGAAAAGCAGAGATATTTGAGTTGGGACACCTGGGTTTGAGTTCTGGTTCGACTATCTACTGTCTTTCCAGTCTTAAGCAAATCACTTCTCTTAAGTTCAGTAACGTAAATGTGAAATGGGAATATATAGCCCACAGGATTGTTGTGAAGTAAAGTGTTTGAAGTGTTGTTGTTAGCTGTCATTGAGTCTATTTTTTACTTAGCCACCCCATGTGACAGAGTAGAACTGCCCCAGAGGGTTTTCTAGGCTGAAAATCCTCACAACTGGACTAATAAGCTTGTTAGTTGTTGTTACGTGCCTTCGAGTCGAACCCGACTCATAGCGACCCCTCCTTGGGTTTCTGAGGCAGTATCACTACGGAAATAGATCGCCCCATTTTCCTTCTGAGGAGTTGTTGGTGTGTTTTAACCGCCAGCCATCTGGTTAGCAGTCCAATGCTTTAGGCACTATGCTACCAGAGCTCCTGACTAATAAGCAGCATCATGATAAATGGAGAGAAGATTAAAGTCGTCGAAGATTTCGTATCACTTGGTTCCATAATTAACACCAACGGAAGCAGCAGTCAAGAAATCAGATGACATATTGCACTGGGCAAATCTGCTGCAAAAGACCTCTTTCAAGTGCTGAAGAGCAAAGATGTCTCTTTGAAGAGTAAGGTGCCTAACCCAAGCCATGGTATTTTCAATCACCTCTATGCATGTAAAAGCTAGACAATGAATAAGGAAGACCTAAGAAGAGTTGATGCTTTTGAATTGTGGTGTTGGTGAGGAATGCTGAAAGTACCATGGACTGCCATAAGAACTAACATATCTGTCCTGGAAGAGGTGCAGCCGGAATGCTCCTTGGAAGCCGGGCTTCGCCTCACCTACTTTGGTCATGTTGTCAGAAGGTACCATTCCCTGGAGAAAGATACCACGGTTGGTAAAGTGGAGGGTCAACGAAAAAGGGGAAGGTCCTCAGTGAGATGGATTGACATAGTGGCTGCAATGATGGGCTCAGGTGTGGCAAGGTTTGTGAAGCTAGTGCAGTACTGGGCAGTGTTTTGTTCTGTTGTACACAGGGTCACTATGAGTTGGAGATGACTCGATGTAACAGCAACAACAACAACAATAACCTTTCTGGGAGGAGATTACTAGGTCTTTTTCCCATGGTGGCTTAACCATTGTGCCGCCTATTAACACAGTTTAATACACTCTCAATTTTCATTCTTGCTCTCTTTCTGGAGTGTAGTAATATTTAGTGTGCTGGTGTTTCAATATTTTTAAATTGTAAAGTAAGCTTTCATTTATTCTTGACCATATTTTAACATTTTGACTTTATATGTATATATTAGGGTATATTTATAACAGCGTGTTATTAGAGAAATGTAATTCAGATTTGCATATACATTTTGAAAAACAAACTCAGGAATCTTTAGTTTTATATTTAGTGGCTTGTTTTGTTCTAAGAGGAATACATAACCAAAAACCTAACCCACTACCATTGAGTTGGATCTGTCTCATAGTGACCCCTCCTTGGGTTTCTGAGGGAGTGTCACTACGGAAGTAGATTTCCCAACCTTCTTTCCAAGGTGTGGCTTGTGGTTTTGAACCTCCAGCCTTCTGGTTAGCAGTCAGATGTCTTAGGCATTACACCACCAGAGCTCCCATAGAGATACATAGTGGACAAAAATTATCCTTTTATTTCTGTTGATTTAGTTACTCATCAAATATTTATTGAGCATCTGCCAAGTTTGAAGTATTTTCTGTAAAGGCACTCTGTACACTAGGAGGGAAGTCTGATACAGAACACTGAGTATATTAACTATGATAATAGAGAGGTGCTCGGAGTATGATAGGTGCACAGAAGAAGGATAGCTAGTCCTACCCCCAGGGAGTTTTGCTGAAGAAGATGATCCCTGAACTGAGTTTTAAAAGATGAGGATTTAGCTAGATTGAGGGAACAGGCAGTGTGAGCAAAGCAAAGAAGCAAAAGACCACATAACTGTGTGGGAGAATAAAGAATGTTTTGGAGGTGGTCAGTGGGGAGGCAACCAGGGCACACTCATGAAGGCCCTGGGTGTTACTGGAAGAAGTTTGGACTTTATCCTGTCAGTCAGTGCTTTTCAAGTTGATTCTTAATCTGTAAAACCCATGGTTGATTCTGATAAAGATGGTCTGCTTTCACTGTAATAGCAGTTCTTTACATAGCAGTGTGGCATAGCAGTATATGGCTTTTCTAACCAGTATATGTAGCTCCCGCCAAATGACTGGGTAGGACTAGGCAAATGTGAGGTGCTTGTGGTCCACTAAGGGGATTAGATAAACCAAAATCAAACCAAACCCACTGCCATCGAGTTTATTCCGACGCATAGCAACTCCCATTGGGTTTCTAAAGCTGTAAATCTTTATGGAAGTAGATCGCCTCATCTTCCTCCTGTGGAGCAGCTTGTGGGTTTGAACCATTGACCTTCTGGTGAGCAGCAGAATGTTTTACCAGAGCTCCCTGGGGATTGGCTAGCTTGCTAATAAATAAGGAGCATGGCACCCTTGTGGGGATGAGACCATGCAAATAAGGTTTGGAACCCTAAGGTGGGGATTGGTCACTTTTACCATCCTTCTAAGGTTATAATGAGCCATCCAGGAGGCAGAAAGGGGGACCTGAACCACCAAGATAAAGAGATGGGAGTGGAGCATGTCCTTTGGACTCAGGGTCCCTGTCTTGGGAATCTCCTCAGCCTGGGAGATTAGAATGAGAGTGAGAAGTGGTGGCAGGTAAATGGCAACAGCATAGTCAGCAGAACCAGGAGACTGGCAGGAGACAGCACAGTGGGCTTCTGGACCCACAGGGTAAGAAAGTTGAGCACCTTTGGGCAGGAGGCTTGCTGGCAGAGTGGGGTGCCTCCAAGCACTCGGTGGAGCTAAATTTGCAAACCAATGGAGCTAGAATGGAGTGCTATCAGGCCAAAGCTTACTGGCAGAGTGAGGTGCCTCTGGGGACTTTTTAGCAGAGCTGAAATAAGCTTTGTAACACTTGCCTGAGCAGTGGATGGAGAGTAAGGAGCAGAGAGAGGCCTGCCTGCAGCATGCCTGAGAAGAGGCTGTCTTGATTGAAGCTCTGTATTCTGAGTTGTTTGTGATCCTGAATTATAACTTGATACTTCCCTAATAAACTATATAATTGTAAGTGTTGTCTGTGAGTTCTGTTTGGCCATTACAATGAATAATCGAACCCAGCAGTAAAGTAGAGAGTACTGTAGGATGGATGGTTGTTGCCAGAATTGATAAAAAAGGTTGGAGGAAAGGCATGTCTGACCTTGGCCTCATAGGAATTAGCTTTGGGCTGTTGATCTTGATCCTCCTCCCCTCTTGTGAAGTAAGAGGAGGTCAGCTGCTGCTATGCCATTTTCACAGTTGGCATCAGAAGTAGGATTAGCTCTAATGGCTCCAGACTCAAGGATGCATGGGACTTTGTAACACAAAGAACAAAGGGGCCTTGGAAGTGAACCTTTTGATTCTTAGATGGTTGCTTTGGTTTTTGTTACCTGTAATGGTCCTAACTAGTTTTGTACTATAGACCTAAATGTATGATAGAAATGAATATTGGGTATTATAGATTATAGAGAGCATATAACTCCACCTTCAGCCAATACTTGATTGGATATGCTAAATGGGGTACTGGGATTTGATTAAAAGAAGCAGGCTATTGATTTGAGTTCAGTAGCACTGTGTGTAGAGTATTGGGGTCTTAGATGAGAAACTTGAACCCCATCCAAGTTCTTTCCAGTTAGGAAGTTTACATTTGAAAAGACATGCAGCATACACAAGGCTGCTGAGAGAAAAGGAGATTTGCATTGAAGGAAGGACCTGCAGAGAAAAAAATAGTGAATTTTTGAATTTCAAGCAACTGCTTTGACTTTGGGTTCACTGAGGCAGGAAAAGTCAGTGCCCATAAGAATAACCCCCTTCTAGGATTGGAAATTAAAGGGAGTTGGTGACTGTTGTACCCTCTTTCCAGCTAACCACCTGGGCCCACACAATGAGTGAGGGAGGCACAGCAATGTAGAAACAGGCTGAGTTTGGATGTGCTCTATTGGCATCCGTTGACCTAGCCACAGAGGCTGGGGATGAGAGAGGAAGGCCTGACTGCTTGGAAGTGCAGGGAGTTACGTGGACTGCCAAGCTTATAGCTAACACCCATTCACCTAGCTTGAATGGCTGGAGAAGAGCTGAGCAGAACTGGCCAAATGAAGAGAAAGATGTTTGACACTATGAGCTGGTATAAATTGTTGCAGTTTGATGGCTTGCTCTGGACTGGACTTTGTTTATAGATGCAGATGCTCAAAATTCCAAGTGGAACAGAAGATTCTTCAGAGAAAGGAACATGCTTGTCTCCTCAGCGTATTGCATTGGTTTGATAGGGACAGGAAATTCAAGCATTAGTTATCTAAAATGAGAGGAGATAAAAGCATAAAGTGGCTGGCTTACACACCTTCACGAGTGTGCTTACATTCAAAATGAGAGGGATAAGAGAGGATCCCAACTGAATAGATTCTCTTTTCCTTATGGGTCTGGGGAAGAGAGGGTGGGAGAAGATGCTTATAGGATTATATGATTCAATTGTGAGTGTTGATGGTTAGCAAG